ATGGTCCCAGTACAGCAAATGAGAGCATGAGACCTGGATGCGGTCTGCCATTTGCTGATGTGAGAGTGCATTGATGGCAGCCTGCCAATCCAGGTACAGGCCCAACAGAGTAGGGGTGAACTGAGACTACCTGCACACTGTCCCTGGGTACCAGCTCCTTCCCCCCCACACACTTTTAAAATAACAATGGACATTCATCAAATGTTTGCCCAAGTCTGAACATAGTTCTAGGGAATTTTGTGTGTCCTTAACTCATATTTTCTTCTTTACAACTCGTCATGATGACAGGTGCACTGAGGCAGATTATGGGTTGTCTGGAGCAGGCCTTATAATTCTCATTTCCATTTTGCATATGAGAAAACAGAAGCACAGAGAGCTCACCTAACTTAATTAGGATCCTGCAGCTGCACGTGTAGGATGCAGACCAGGAAGTATGCTCCAGAACCCCCTTCACTTGCAGGATGGTCTGCACTATGGTTGAACCTTAAGGAGAGAAGAGCAGCAGGCAGAGGCTGCTCCACCAGACCAGTAGAAATAGCAAAAGGCAGGCAGTGATGGAGAGTCTGCAGGAGCCCACCTCGTTTGGCTCCTTGAGACCTCTAGGGTTAGTTTGAAGCCTTGAAGTTGGTCATCTCAGCATGAAGACTGTGTACATCTGAGCCATTCTCAGGTAACTACAGAAGCCAAAGACAATGCCAAAAGGGGAGAGGTTTCGGAGGAATCAGAGTGTGAGCGGAGTGGATGGAGAAAAGTGTAAGCTACACACTTCATGGGAACCGCTCATGAGACTGGACATGTTGATAGAGCTCAGGTTATTTTCATGCAGGGTACATTTAGATGCTCCTGTTAAAAGTGCCGAATACTCTTCTATTTTTTGTAGATTTGTTTTTCCCTTGGTGAATGTGATATCCAGAACCTTTCCCTTCTTCCTAGGCACACCAAGACAGCAAGTGGGCGGTTTCGACTTCATTGAGTGTGTTTTCTATGTTTATAGATTTGTATTACTTTATAAACTGGGGGGGGAGGGGAACAACTCTTGTAATTTGATAGAATTGGGATGGAAATAATAGCCCTGTCCCACAAACCCATCATTAACTATAAAGTTTTACAATAGTAATTATACTTGGTTAATACTACTAAGGCGAGAGAGAAATGTCAGACATTTAATTGAGCTAACAATATTGTGCAGTCTAAAACAAAGAACAGGAGATCACATATGTGAACTGAGTATTCTCCTCCCCAGTGTCTTTAAATTTAAGACAGAGATGAGAGAATTTTAATGTGGCTCAATCAAGATGCAAGTGAATTCTCAGATATGAGCAGGCGTATTGCTTGGAATGATTGATGGCCTTTTCTGAGATGAGTGAGTAAGGTAAACAAAAGATTTTGTGACTGTGTTTCTGCTAGAGACTTCAGCATGGTTCTCCTCCCATCTCTGATCCCCTTCATCATAGACTACCATCCTATCAGCAGAGTACAAAATGAAATAAGTTTTCCCAAGGATGGGGCAAAGTAGGGCAAATTTTCCCATTACCTAGTAATACAAATTGTAAAAAAGAAAAAGGAAAACAAAGGTTCCTACCTTGGAAAATACTATGGCCAAGTGACTGTTTCAAAGACCACAGTGAAAACAGATGTGTCCTCGTGGCCACCTCAAAACGGTGATACCGAAATAGCCTGTGAAAATGTCACGACCCTGGGACCCACAGAAGATGTTCTTTAAACACTTCTGGGTGTAAGAGGACAAGGATTTCTGAACCTACCCACAGTCTCTTGAGACCTCAAAATAACTGTATTAAAATGGTTGACATCATCTATGTCAGGGGAAATGCAAGCAGGAATTTTTGGAGGAGGGATTCTCCAGAAAAAGGAAGGATTGGAGAGGCAGAGTACCTGGGAGAGAGAACCAGGGGAGGAGAAGGTGTTATAGCAGAAAGGGCAAGACGCACAGCAACCCAGAAATGAGAATCTGAGTGGGATGAAGCTACAATATGAAGGCTTCTCACATGCTCACCAACCAACTTTTATTGAGCACCTACTACATGCTTCACCACAGTGCCAAAACCTATTGTAGAAAACACAATTGATCTGGTATGATTCAGTCTTCTTTTTCTTTTTTCCTCTCCACAATGACAACAACAGTAAAATACAATGGATCCTAAGTCAATTTCAAAACTCAAGTTTGATTTTAGCACTATGTGGTTTTCCTCAAAGTATTTTTCTAATCAATTTTTAAACCACTGCAGCACAAATTATATAATTCAAAAATATTCTTTTCTCTACTTATTTTCAAAAATCATCGAGTCTAAATTAAATTCAGATAAACTACTTCATTTATTTTGAAACACATAGTTACATTAGAAATACAAATACACACACACAAAAAAAAAATTGCTGACCAATTAAGTATTAAGCATTCAGTTGGTATACAGTAACTTTTTGAAAAGAAAATATCAGTTATTACTCAATTTTAATAATAATACTTTGTGCTCTACAGAATTGAAGAGTGTGCTGAAACATTTGAAACTCTGTCAATATTCTTAAAAAAACAAATCTTGAAAGCAGATTAAATACAGATTATTTTTCTGTAACATTACCATTAACCTGAATGTTCCCATGGCAACAAGACATCTAACAGAATATAAAGCAGATAACTTTCAATATTTAAATCATAACTCATAAATAAAATCATATTTTCTAGTTCTATGAAAGTTACACATTAATTCTATCAGGGATGCAGAAATTTATTTAGAAATACTATTTTTCAAAAATATATGTTAATTTTTATAACTAATTTCTAATTACAAAAACAATTCATTCTTTCTGCAAAAATAAATTGGAAAATATATCAAAAGAAGAATTAAATAAATCCTGTGATGAGTACCGATAATATTTGTTTTAATTATTTTTGTATATTCATTTTTTTAATTCTTTAAAAAAAACTTCAATCAGAATATAAATTTAGCTTTTTGTTCTTAATTTTTCACTTCTTAACATGCATGTCATTAATTATATTTTAAATTTGTTTTATGGTAACAGTTTTGTGATAGTCTCAACAATGTAACCCTATACTTTCTGCTTAAATAATAACTTTGTATTTTCCATAATACATCTAGTCCTTGCAGCTGTGAAGTCACATTCTACACCCTCAAAAAATAATGACTACAAGAGAGTTAAATTCCTTTATGTCATTTTTATAACAATGTTATCATGTCACATCTATAAGCTTCCAAAATCAAGGATGTTTTAGACTAATTATTCCTCATTAAGGCTGCTTTTGGACTCTAAAGTACTAATTGAGAGTTCTTTCACAAACAAAATCATAAAACTTCTGAAAGAGAATGGGGCAGGTTCCTTTGATCTGGGCATGTATATAGTAATTTCCCAGGAAGACTCTAGCATGAAATGGTAAATATTGTTTATCACTTCAGCACACAAGGGGAAAAAAATGATAGCCAGAAAATACCCTACACATGGACTTTTTTGTTATTAAAGTTATTAAACATATATATATAATATTATATATTATATATATATATATTATATATATATATATATATATATATATTTCCATTATTTTGACTTTGAAATCGTGTCAAATATCAGACACATGCAGATTATATCTATCCTATCAGGACCCATTTAATAGGACAGGAGCCATAAAAACTGACAAACCCAATTTACTGGAACATACCTTCATGGTCAGACAGGGAAATGCTGCCTTTGCCCTTTGGTTGCAAATAGTAACAAGGAAGAGAAATATACAGAAGGTTAGAGAAGACCTCAACCCCAGAGAAGAAATACAGTTGAGGACCAGGAACAGTGGAAAAACAGGACTGGAAAGATTCGGGAAAACAAGAAGTCCTTTTCTTTCCCAGAAACCCCATTTCCTCAGCTCTCTACCACTAGATTTCTGCCAAGAGAACCTGTCTACCCCTCAGCACACGGGAAGAGAGAAGATGGCACCCCACTTCCTGCAGATACTGGAAGGTACCTGGCCAGCCACATGCTAAGTCCCATTCATTAATGAATTGTCTTGGCTTGACTTAGGTGCAGGTTCCTGGACCCTCTGACCCTGTGCTGAGTCACCTTATAAAAGCCTGAGTGTTGATTCCCTCGTTGTCACTGAGGGCAGGTGATGGCCCACTCCTGTGTGATTTTGTCTACTGTGATCAAATGACTGTGCAATAGGTTCTGAATTCAAAAGAAGTATGACTTTTATTTTACTTTTTGCTTTGAGAATTATATTACTAGTATATGAATACATTTTTCCTTGTATCCATTGTGTAAATTTCCAGAACTTTTTCCTTGGGGGAATCTTACTGTAGGTGTTGTTGGACGATATGTTTTTGTTTTGTCACATAACAATATGTCTTACATATTAGAGTTATATATTTTTAATGAATTCATTTTTAAGGTATACTAGCAATACACAAATGCATTTTTGTTGTAAGAAAAATTTAGTGCTGCTGATCATATGAATGAAAAGTCAAGTTTTCTTTCCTATAACCTGTAAATTATCATTTTTTTTAACTCTCTAGGATCATGGTTTATGTACTTGAATCAATGCATAAATATGTAGTCATCATTAAACATACACCGCTTTAAAATACATAAACAGACTAAAAAATAAATTCCCCTTTTTATGAATAAAATCCAACTTGCCTTCCCAAAATCATCATTAACAATTAATTTGTTATATATCCATCTGGACTTTTTTCTATGTACTTACATATTCACATACATATAAAATATATATAACTTGGAATTTTAAAATTTTAACAAAATTGGTATCAAAGTATAAGAATTAAACAGAATTTTGTAGTTGTTTTCAAAAATTCTGGGATGAGGGCACACACTTTGTAATCCCAGCTATTCAGGGGGTTGAGGCAGGAGGACTGCAAATTTGAGAACAGCCTGAGCAATTTAGCAAGACTGTGTCTCAAAATTTAAAAAACAGTGGGGAGACGGGAAGTGTAGCTCAGTAGTAGAGCACTTACCTTGCATGCTCAAAGTCCTGGGTGAAATCCTCAGTGCTAGGAAAAAAAAAATTGTAGATATGTAATGGAGATGGTTCCAATGCAGGTACATACAGACTTAGTAAGTTTTGCTTAACATTCTATATTAAGATGTAATTTAACTATTCCTCTATTGGTGAATATTTTTAATTGATTTTATTTTTTTAAATACACAACAGTGGAATGTATTACAATTCTTATTACACACATAGAGCACAATTTTTCATACCTTTGTATAAAGTATGTTCACGCCAATTCATGTTTTGGTGAATATTTGTTGTTTTTAATATTAAAAATATGGCCATAGGACTGGGGTGTAGTTCAGGGGTAGAGCACTTGCCTAGAACTCATAAAGCCTTGGGTTCAATCTCCTCCAGGACAGCAAAGAAAAATAATTTTTTTGTGTGATGAATGTGTTTGTACATATTTCTTAATGTTCCTATAAGGATATTTCTTCTATCAAAAGAACACAATTATTACAAAAAGGAAAAAGAAAAACCTGTAAGAATTTCATCCTTCCAACAGCATCTGAGATTGCCTATTTCCATACAACTTCGCCAATTATAGATACCAGCAAGCCTTTTTATATTTGCCCATCTGAAAATTTAAAAAAATTATCCTTTATATTTGCTGATAATTACTGAGAATAGATATCTTTTTATATGTTTACTGGTCATTTAGATTTATTTTTCCTTGGATTGTCTGTTCAAAAACCTTTTTTTCTTCTTGGAATTTTTTACCCTTTTTTTCAAAATCAACGTACACAAGAAGCCAGGTGTAGTGACATACACCTGAAATTCCAGCAACTTGGCAGGCTGAAGCAGGAGGATAGCAAGGCTCAGCAACTTAGCCCCTCAGCAATTTAGCAAGACCCTGTTTCAAAATAAAAGATGTAGCTCAGTGGTAAAGTATTCCTGGGTTTTTAACTTTGTGGTATTTTTATTATACGAATTTCAATTTTTAAATAACCAGCATTGTAAGCCTTTCTCTTTATGGTGTCTAGATATAGTATAAGGTTTAGGAAGTTATTTTTTAAGCTACGAAGAAAAAAAAATGTTTATTTTGGCTTTCAGTTTGGGGCCAAGGGCCAAGGGTCACATCTTGCTGGCAGAGTTCCACAGTGACACGGTGCATCCTGTGGCAAGAAACAGGGAGCACATGACTGATGGATGCTTTTTACCACATAAAGATTCCAAACAATTTCCAGAAAACATAGTTTGGGAGATGTCTTTCTAATTTCCTTCCAATCTTCTGTATGGTTTTCCCTACAGAAAGGTGGAAAGACTCACTTGTAAAACCATCTGGGACGAGTTCCTTTCCAAGGCTGATCTTTGACTACCTCCCTGTCTCCTCTCTGGTTATTGTCCTGTTCAGATTTTATACATCCTCAAAGTACAAATTATGTATATCTTTTAGAAGTCCTTTCATCTAGATTTTTTAATCTATTCATATAAAATTGTCTTTCTTCCTTATTTCTTATGATAAACTTCTCTTTTAACTTTCGTCTTAATCACCCATGACAAAGATTTATTGACTGGTAATTAGGCAACTAGATGTGGTCTCCTCTGATTTGTGTTGCTTTTCTTCCCCAGGCAGCCCTGGCTCCAAGGTGAGACCTGGGTGAGGTTGGCAGGGCATCTCACTGTCATGTTTCATTCTGGGCAGGAAATCAGGAAGGCCAAAATTGAGAGGACTTTAATTGGGGGTGGATCCCCCCAAGTGCCATTAGACATGTGTCCCCTTAACTTGCTCTACATCTGTGCCGAACTTCCAGGGGAGTCTCCTGTGGCTCTGCTCAGCTTGTCCAGGGCAGGGCAATTCTCTGAGGAGGCCTTGGCCTCCTGTGGCAGATTATTCTCTTTTCAGAGAGGGTTTTGCTGATTTTATCCAAGGGCACACACTGCTAATCCCTGCCACTCAGAATAAGTGGAAGGGGAGAGAGGAGTAAGATGCCCAACCAGCCTAGCTATTTCAAGAATGTGTTGACTCTGAGCTTGGATAATCACTGAAATTCCTTCAACATTGTACAATTTTCTCTTACCCATGTTTTAGCCTGAGGTTTTCTCTAACCTTGTTTCTTCATCAGCCTGATTTCATTTCGTTTCTATTTATCTTCCTAGAAGCTTTTATTTTCTGGGCATCTTTTCTCATTCTCTATCAGTGATATAGATTTATTCTTGAAGAACAAATAAGATCATTTCTGTCACTTCCTTCAGGGCCTGGAAGTGAGCAGTTTTGAGACCGTTTTTGGACCAACTTTTTTCATTGTTGTTTTTACTTACATTAAACGAAAGAGGATAATCCCAGTAAATAAATAAGTTGAAAAAATAAGAACTGAGTTAGGAACCCCTGTTAGGCTTTCATTTTCTGTGTACTTCCTTTTCCGCTTCAGTGGTTAATCCAAGTAAGGGTTGTGTAAGTCACGGTGAAGACAAGATGCTTCCCCTCCTGTGTGTCATTGGTACCCCTGATGCACAGCATTGCTTAAACCAGTGAGCATTCCACAAACACTGATAAAGTGGGTAGGGGAACATATTATTTTATGCACAAATCCAAAATGCAGGAAATCACTAAAAGTTCCTCTGAAGGGCGTGGTGCACTTCATCCAGTGACAGGACTAGATCTGGGACCTGATGTGACCCTCCCTTGAGCGCTACTTCCACTGACTTTCTCGGGCCATTTGCTTTGTTCTCCCAGTCATCTCTTCCAGAAAGACAAGTGGAAAGAAGTCCACTGTCATTGGCAATGACAGAAATTGTTGCTAAGCCTGACAACTAACACTAGCATCATCACCTCCTACACTAGCACTTCAGGATATCAGCAGGAATAGGTCCACCCTCTTTCTTTGTTATCCTATCCTTTATTGGAGTAATAACTGAAGCTCATTCACTGCTCTGAGTATGTTGTAAACATTATTAGTATTTCTGATCTTTTGTGCCTTTGCAAAGGAAAAGATGGCCATTAGATTGTGTGTAGGTGTGTGGATGGGTGGGTGGTTGGGTGTGGATATGAGAGTGTTAGTGTATAGGGCTTGTTTATTTGTTGTTTTAAAATGTAACCTCTGAATTAGGGTGAATAGTGAATTGGAAAGCCACTGGTTTCCTAGAATAAGATTTGCTTCTTACCAATACAGCCCTTTTGTATTTTTTTTAAGCAATATAATAACCTTGAGTCTTGGGACCTAATAGTTAAATTATGGTAATCACAGAAGACTTTTCCTTAAAATATGCTTTGATATAAAGCCATTCGTTCACCATATCTTACCAAGGGGTGGAAAAAGATATTTTTCTTGCAAGTGATTATGCTGCTTATATGTCCAATATGGATGACAGCTTGGCTTAGCAAAAAAAAAAAAAAAAAAAAAAATTTTTTTTACTTTTTTGTAAACTAAAGACATAAATTGTAAGTTAGAAACTTGTGATTACATCTGCTTTACAGATTAATCTGAGGATATATATTGCCACAGAATTTTTTACTACTAACATTTCTCATAATACTGATAAGGGCCTACTGAGATTTTTCATGAAAAGCCTTATTATCTTAGGGATAAAATTTTAATTGATATGTAGAGCAATTTCCTTTTACTACTCTAAGGAGTCTGGAAAGTTTCCAGGTTATAGATCCTGAAAACAAATTGAATCTATCCACCTTAGATTAGATAAAGAGTTGCCAATGAGATTGAAAAAATATTTTTAAAATCGACTTTCATCAGTTTTTGTTTAGAATGTTTATATCTGGGGAAAAAATGGACAACTATTTTTAAGTAGAGTTTGCTATTTGAATTTACCCAGAAAATATTACTATAGAACACGGGACAACCTACACAATGTCTCAGGTCAGGTTGTCAGAACAGAGTATGATAAAATCATGAGATATTTAGAAATCACCAGGAAGAGCTTTTATGTCCATGTTATATGTTTAACTGTTTGAATTTACCCTATGACCTTTGAAAATAAGAAAAAAAAAATTCTGCATACAATGGTGCATGCCTATAATTTCTGCATTCAGGAGGCTGAGGAACATTGCAAGTTTGAGGCCAGCTTCAACAACTTAGCAAGATCCTGTGTCAAATAAATAAATAAATAGTAGAGGTTCTACTACATCCTGAGGCTATATGGAATCAGAGTGACAGTCTATGCTACAATGGGGGTCTTATGACTCTTCTACCTTCTCAGCCTCTGGGTAACCTAGCTAAGGGGTACAGTGCACTGGAGTTCAATCCCAGTATTGCATTTTAAAAAATTAATAAACACACATACACACACACACATACACACACACACACACACACTTCTCAGTGTTTCCAAGTCAAATCAAATCATGAGAGGCCCCTGACTGTTAAGATTATTGAAAATCTATTTGTCATCATTTGGAGTGGTAGCCTTTCCTTGAGTAGAAGTTCAGGGTCACACATACAGCCCCACACACTGGGGGTGGTCTTCTGGCTTTACAATACAATCCCTGTGATAGTTGTCAACTTGGCTAAGCTATAGTGCCCAGTTGTGCGACAATCCCCAACTTAGATATTGCTGTGAAGGTATATCTTAGAATCTTAGATGTGATTAACATTTAAATCACTAGTCTCTGAATAAAGCAGATTATCAAAAACCCCATAATGTGTGTAGGCCTCACCCAATCAGTTGAAGGTAGTAAAAGCAAAGACTGAGGTTTCCCAAAGTGGAGGCAATTCTATGTCAAGATTACAACAAACAAATCCTGCCAAATTTTGGATTCAAGGCTGCAAGGCTTCCCCATGTTTCCAGGCTGCCAGGCTGTTTGCCTGCGCTACAAATTTCAAATTTACCAGCCCCGAAGAATAATATAAACCAATTGTTTAAAACAAATCTCTATTGGTTCTGTTTTAATGGAGAACTCTCATGAGTACATTTTCCCTTGAGATGTCCACTGACCATGTGCCACATTCAAAGTTGGAAGTTCTGCTGCTCTTGACACCCTCTGCTGCCCTCTAGCCACTATGATGCTTCCTTCAAGTTCAAGTCAGCAACCCTTAGTTAAGC